CTTTTTATCTTTTAGCCTGACTCTCTGGATGCTGCCACTGGGTTAGCATAAGGCACTTATTAGTCAAAAGTTGTGCTTAATGGGCTGGGTGAGGTGATGCACACCTGTGGTCCCATCACTTGGTAGGCTGAGGCAGGAGGATCACCATGAGTTCAAGGCCAGCCTGGGCTATATAGCGAGAACATGTCTCAAAAAAAAAAAATGTTGTGCTTAAACTCCTTTAAACGATTAGATTTTTTTGCCCTTTAGTATTGGATATATGTGATATGTGATTTTGATGGAGCTATCAAAATTCAGACAGTTTATCTTTTTCCTTTTTTTTATTAGTACATGTTTGCAATACATAATGCTTACATTCCTTTTGTGGAGCTGGTACATGTACATAACATCTTTTTTTTTTTTTTTTGAGACAGGGTCTCACTACATAGTTCAGGCTGGCTTCAAACTCACAGTGATCCTCCTGCCTCAGCCTCCCAAGTGCAGGAATTGTACGTACACCATTTCTGGGCTTCAGCACATTTTAATTCTTTTTTTGTTCCCCTTTTCTTTCCTCCCATCACCTGTTCCCATTCCCATTTGAGAAAGGTCTATCTCCCTTTCATGTTTTTAAGCTGGGGTCTTGCTATATTGTCCTATCTGGCTTTGAACCCCTGGTCTAAAGTGATCTTCCTGCCTCAGTCTCCCAAGTAGCTGTAACTATAAGCATGTGCCACCATGCCCAGTGAAGGAGCTTATATTTTTACCTCATATTCAGCAAGAAATTCCTTCTATGATCTTGAACCAGACTGCCAAGGGTGCATATGATTTTATTTTTGAACCCTGGCATCCTACGAATTTACCCTAGAGTAGCTTATCACTGTATTCAGTGATTGGCCAGAGGCTGTGCTTAAGCCCGTAGAGTCAGTGAAGCTTCCACCCTTTGGTTAATGGATCTGTGTGTGGCCTGGGGAATACTTTCAAGTGGAGCCCTGCATCCTGCTTTATTGCTCCCAAGTGGTTGCAGCCTACTGCAAGCACACGACATTCCCAACCCCCGAGACTGACTGTAATCCCGGGAAGGTTTATCTGGCTTTGTGTCTCTCTGGTTCTTCCTCTTGAACTTCAGGAAGTTTTGCCATTTCACTCTCTGCTGCCAGTATCGTGGAGCTACCAACCCCTTCCTAACTTCACCACCAAGATCTCCATGGTTTTTAACAACACTGTTAGGCATAGAACTCTCTACACTTTGTTCCAGATAGTCTTCTCAGTCAGAACAGAAGTCTTCATCCTTCAGGCCTGCCTTCCCCCTGAGTAGAACATCTGTCCTGCACTGGAACTAGAGGTGGGGACAGTGGTCCACTTCTAGAGTGATATCACACTGCTCCATGGGCAGGTGCTAGGGGTGTGAGGGTGGAGCCCCTGATCTTCCTGGCTAGCCCCAGTCAATGTGGAAATCATCAAGCAAGCTGGAGTGAGGCAATTGGAGCTCCAGTATTGTCAGCCTACTACACTTGGGATAGAACTTCTGCTCTATTAGTAGAAGAGAACCTAAATCCTCTTAGCTTCACCAACCCAAATAGAAAATCTGGAGTATGGAAAAGAAATCATCCAGAAGAGACTGATGTTCTGGAGAGTTGTTTGTTTGGTTTTTTTTTCAGTACTGGAAATCAAACTCAGAACTTTGTGCTAGCTAGGCAGGCAAAGTGCCATTGAGCTATATCCAGCTCCTGAAGAGAACTAAAAAATACAAGGATGTCTCAGGCATGGTGGTGCATGCCTGTAATACCAGCACTCAGGAGGCTGAGGCAAGTTTGAGGCTGGGCTACATAGTGAGTTCAAGGCTAGCCTGAACTACATAGCAAGACTCTGTCTCAAAAACCAGAAAAACTGGACGTGATGGCACACACACACCTGTAATCCCAGCAATCAGGAGACTGAGACAGGAGGATTGCCCAGAGTTCAAGGCCAGGCTGGGCTACCTAGTAAGTTCAGGGCCAGCCTGCACTACATAGTGAGACCTTGTCTCAAAAAAAAAAAAAAAGAAAAGAAAAGAAAAAGGAAAAAAAGATTAGAGCTGGCGTGATGATGCATTCTTGTAATCTAGGAGGATGCTGTGAGTTTAGGGCCAGTCTGAGCTACATAGTGAGTTCAAGGTCAGCTTGAATTACATAATTACATAATGAGACCCTTTCTCAAAAAAACACAGGCCCGGGGATTTAGCTCAGTGGTTCCACCACATGCCTTGCAAGCATAACATCCCGAGTTCAATCCCCGGTACCAAAAAAATAAAAAAAGATTAACAGTGGCCAGGCATGGTGGCCTATAATCCCAGCACATTGGAAGGCTGAGACAGGATTTGTTAAATTCAACCTCAACCTGGGCAATTTAGCGATTTACCATGATCTTGTCTCAAAATAAAAAAGGGCTGGGGCCAGGGATTTAGCTCAGTGGCACCGCGCCTGCCTTGCAAGTGCAAGGTCCTGAGTTCAATCCCTGGTACCAGAAAAAAGGGGAGGGGGCGGTGCTGAAGATGTAGCTCAATTCAAAGGCCCTGGGTTCAATCCTCAATAATGCAAAACACAAAATATATATAGTGTCACAGAGAAGGCATCAAGAACAGAAATAAAATATAATAACACGAACAAAATGAAAGTCTGTGACATTTTTTCTTGTATTTTTAAATTTTTTTAAGTTTTTTTGATTTTGGTTTGCGTTTCGTTTTTTGTTTTTTTGTTTCTTTTGGTGCCAGGGATCGAACTCAGGTCCTTGCACTTGTGAAGCAAGTGCTGGAACCACTGAGCTAAATCCCCCAGCCCTGGTTTTGTTTTTTTGAGAAAGGATCTCACTATGTAGTTCAGGCTGAGGTTTTTTTGTTTGTTTGTTTGTTACTGGGGATATTGAACTCCAGACCTTGCACTTTCAAGGCAGGCATGATGCCTCTGAGCTAAATCCCCTACTCTGTTCAAGCTGTTCTTAAATTCACTACGTAATCCAGACTGGGCTCAAATTCACAGTGATTCAGAGCCCAGGATTTAGCTCAGTGGCATTTTTAAGAGGTGGTGTGAGGGGAAATATGATTGGAGTCAAAACCACAGTATAGCTTCTCACCAGACCCAGGGGCTGTAGATGAGCCTTCTCAAGACCCCAGAGGCTGGGGTGGCAAGGACCAGTCCCCACCACCCAGTGCCAGCCCCATACCCCTGCCTGGACCCTCCTTCCCACACTCCTCTGAAGGGACACCCTCCCCCACTCTCGCACAGGCCCCATACCAGCCCCACCTGGACCCTGGGGACAGTGACATTGCCCACCCCTAGTCCCTGTGATGAGACAGGAAGAAGGGGAGAGCCACTTGGAGGAGTTGGCTCAATTCCATCCACATCAGTTTCCTGGGCTCCCCTCACTTTCACCAGCCCAAAGTGCAGGTCCCCACCCTGAGATATCCAGTTCAATACCAGAGTGCTCTTTGGTGCTGGGGAAATGGTCCTGGCCTGGGAACTTCGTCTCCTTGGACAAAGAAGAACAAATATTCCTTGTCCTAAGGGACAAGCTTCTCAGCATCCAAGCAGACATTGCCCATGCTTTCTCATCAATGCCCAGCCTGAGACATAGTATGCTGTCACAGGTCAGCTTCAAGGTTGAATACAAGGCCAGCAGCCACCCCTCCATCTTCCAGAAGCCTGTCCAGGTCCAGGTGGACAGCAGCACCTCTGAGGGTCGAGAGCCTCTCCACCCCTCAGCCTTGGATGGCAGCAGTGGAGGTGCTCCTATTCCATCACCTTTTCTTGCATCTGCAGTCCCAGCCATCAGTTCAAGCAACTGGAGACCATCTAGGCACACAGCTGCCGAGCACCCACAGCCAGCTCTCTGTTAGGCCCCGGCAGACAAGAATGGGGTGCTGGCTTGGCCTGCTAGTCCCCCACCCCAAAGCCTACAGCCCCTACTTAGCTGCCCAGACCCCAGCTGAGTGCTTCCTGCCAAGGCCCCCCCAAAGACAAGAAGCTTCTGGCCACCAAGACCCTTTGCCCTTACCCCAGGGGACTGGGGAAAGAGGGAACCCCCTCCCCAGCTATGAGTCTGTACATGAGGCCCAAGGCGTATGTCTTTCTGGAGGGAGGACACACAAAATGACCTTCCCCTGAAAGAATAGGGCTCCGGGGGCTGCACCCAACGAGGGGAGTTTCCAGTGGGGACAGGGCAGGGAGCACTTTCTGTTTTATTTATTAATGTATTGTTTTATTTATTGATCAATCTCTGCAAGTGGGGTTAGGGGAGTGAGAGCCGGTTGGGGTGGTTTAGCAGATCCTGACAGGACGCTCTGTCCCTGTGTCATCCCTATCTTCCCCTCCTGGGCCCTGCCTCTCCCATTACCTACAAAATTCTATACAGATTTGCTCTCCCAGAAGGAAAACTTTCATTCTTGTTTCATTGTAGTTTCAAGTGATCCTCCCTGAGTCCTTGTCTCTGATTCCACCATCAGCATCAACAAAAATAATAAATAGCCAGGCATAGTGGTTCACACCTGTAATCCCAGCACTCAGGAGACTGAGGCAGGAGGATTGCTTCAAATTCAAGGCCAGCCTGGGCTATATAGTGAATTTAGGGCCAGCCTGAATTATAGAGCGAGACCCTGTCTCAAAAACAAACAATATGAATAATAATCATAAAATAACCTTGATCAGGGACAGAAAAAAAAAACTAAGTATAAAAAATAAAAGAAACTAGGTGTGATGGTCCATGCTTCTAATCTTAGCACTTGGGAGGCTGAAGCAGAAAGATCACAGTGAGTAGTTAGAGGCAGCCTGGCCTCCACAGTGAGTTGAGTCCAGTATGGAATACATAGCGAAACTCTTGTCTCCAAAAAAAAAAGAACAAAGAATAAAATGGATTGAAGAGTGAATAGAGATCATTTCTTCATGAATGGAGATTATGCTTTTAAAGTTTTAACCACTCAAGGTTCCAAATAACTCAATCCTTTTGTTTTCTTCTTTCTGTTCATGATGTCCTATTTCTTTTCCCCATAGGTGAGACCTGGAACCCCTTCAAATTACAGTACCAGCTGAGAAATGTACGAGAGCGAATTGCAAAGAACCTAGTAGAGAAGGGTATTCTGACCACTGAGAAGCAGAATTTCCTGCTGTTTGACATGACTACCCATCCAGTAACCAATGTAACAGAGAAACAGCGACTAGTGAAAAAACTTCAAGATAGTGTTCTAGAGCGGTGGGTAAACGACCCCCAGCGTATGGACAGGCGAACACTGGCACTCCTGGTGCTGGCCCACTCTTCTGACATACTAGAGAATGTCTTCTCCTCTCTAACAGATGACAAGTACGATGTGGCAATGAATCGAGCCAAGGACCTAGTAGAACAGGACCCTGAAGTGGAGGGGACAAAGCACAGTGCCACAGAGATGATCTGGGCGGTACTGGCAGCCTTTAATAAATCCTAGAGCCGGCAGGTAGCTACCTTTTTCCCCTGCTGCCTGATGACTGTTAGAGACCCAGTCACTGGGTTCGTGTGATCAGATTTCATCTTTTGTTTTTTGTTTTTAACCTTCTCCTGAATCAGATTCATGATTTGGGAAGAGCAACTTTAGGGCTTCTCCAAAGACCTTGAAACCATTATAAGCAGACTATTTGTCCCTCTCCTTCCACTCCATACATGAATAAACTAGGTGAACCCACACACACCCAATAAACATTTTCTCCCATTTCTTGTTTTAGTTTCTTCCACTGTGCTTTTGGATTAAACAAGAATATAAATAACTGGGATTTGGAGTTCTCAAGCAATAGAATGTGAATGAGATGAAAAGCAAACCATTTATTATACTTTTCTAAGCTTGTTTTCTAAAATGCATGTTTCACAGCCTTTATCTCTTAGATTCTGCTAAAAAAAATTGTAGCTTATTGAAACAACTATCTTTTTAAAAGAGTAGCAATGAAAACAAAACTAATTTTTTGTTGTTGTTGTTTTTTGAGACAGGGTCTCCCTTTGTAGTTCAGGCTGACTCTGAACTTAGCTGTGTAGCCCTGGCTGGCTTCAAACTCAAGGTGATCCTCCTGCCTCAGCCTCCAGAGTGCTGGGATTACAGGCATGCGCCACCACACCTGGCTCCAAAACTAATTTTTGAAGCAGATAATTCCTGGAATTGTAAATCCTGCTAAAGAGTTTCTCATCTGACCTTTTCTAACCTAATAAAATGTCCCAGATTTGATTACAGGGATTCCACAGTCCTAGACCCAGAAATATATTCTATACTCCTTCCTAACGTTATTCTGGTCCCTTACTCGTTAAGAGAAAACTCTAAATGGAAAAAAATGTATCTTAACTGCCTCCTTGATGCAGTCTGCATTAGAACTTGTAGGGAAGGGAGATGCCGTAAGAATTTCCATCTTTGAACACAAGACTGCCCTGTCCCTCCTGACTACTTAAATGTCTCCTCTGAGACTGAACGGAGGACAGGAGTCAGCTGCTGGATACCAGCATCCAAGTCCAGACAACAGATCCTACTCCATATCTTCTTCCCTACATAAACTGGTAAGTTCTACCTATACTGAAGGATTCTTGGAGTAGTTTTGTCTATATTTAATACACAGCCTCCTAATCATCAGTTTTATTTCAACACAATCATCCTTCCAACTAAATCTCTAAAATGTTCCTCACTTCGGTATTGATGGTAAATAGAGGCTTTATTAAGAACAAATGTTTTTTCCTTTTTTTTTTTTTTTGGAGACGGACTCACTATGCAGTTCAGACTGGCCTTGAACTCACTGTGTAGCCCAGGCTAGCCTGAAACTCGGCAGTCCTCCTGCCTCAGTCTCCCAGTGCTGCAATTACAGTCATGTGCCACCACGCCCAGCAGAAAAAATTCTTTGTAGAGTAGCAAATTGGTGTCCAAAGCATATTGATTGATATAAAATCTAGTACTGTGGAATATGAAGAGGAAGCACTTAGTTGCACTAATATCAGACATTTGTCATATTTTCATGCTTGTTGACCACTACAGAGAAACAAGCTGTCAAAAGGCTACAGATGACTCAGACCTGATATCAGATCCTCCAGATCAGAAATAATCATATGATTATAATTTCATATCCTCCCCTAAACCTACATAGCCCCACAAAAATCCCCCAACTCAACATACTTTTGTTTTCACTTCAGATTTTGCGGGGGGGGGGGGGGTACTGGGGATCAAACTCGGGTCCTTCCACTTGTGAGGCAGGCGCTGGAACCACTGACCTAAATCCCTAGCCCCTTGCTTCAGATTTTTCAAAGGTAAACAGAAGTGGGACATGGTGGCATGCGCCTGTAATCCCAGCACTCAGAAGGCTGAGGCAAGAGGAACCCTGAAAGTTCAAGGTCAGCCTGGGCTACTTAGTTCAAAATCAGCCTGTATTACATAGACCCTGTCTCAAGAAGAAGAAGAAAAATCAGAGGTGAAGGAGATATACTCAAAAGTTATAATGTGAAAAATTCTAAGAGGAGAATAAAAATTCACTCTTGTCTCTGTAAATGTGCAAAAGCTGGTCCAGGTGTGATCTCTGCCCAACTTTGCTTTTCTTTCCATTTGAACAATCAGCATGAATTGAAACCAGGTTTTCCTGTGTTCCAGCTTGATTGGGGGACAGAAGTTGAGTTCTTTCTTGCAACTTTTACCCAGTGTTTATTTTTTTTATGTTGTATCTCAGTAGGACATCTTCAGTTTAAGTCTACATAATGTTCATGCCAAATATACCTTCTCATTTAATGCATATGGCCTTTATGTTTCTGTGTAATAAAGTCAGTTATTGTCTCTGTGCACAATTTTATGACTGCATTTGTTTTAATTAGGAAAAAAAAAAACTTTCACACCAGACTGTTAATGCCTCTTGCCTTGCACTAACATAGCAGCCTCTTTTTTTTAATCCTATGTGGAAAATGAAGGATATAAAAATACTGTCATTGTAACACATATGGATAACTGGGGGACAGGACACAGCAGTGTTAACTCAAATACCACGTAATGTCATAAAATCTGAATATTGTCTCCATCTCAATCAAAGTAAGTTACCAGTTATACCATATTCCTATGAAAAGAATTAGTGTGGTCTGTCCCCCTAAGACCTGCTTGCAAGTGACACCTGAATTCATCTAAGAGCTGAAAACCTTAAGTTCCAATTGTAGGTAACCATTCATATACCTAACTATATCAGAGTAACTAATGTACCAGCTGTAACAGTTAACATTGTGTAAAAATATAGAGTCAGGAGTGGTGGTGCACATCTATAATCCCAGTACTCAAGAGGCTGAGGCAGGAGGATCACCATGTGTTTGAGGACACCCTGGGCTACATAGTTCAAGGCCAGCCTGAACTGCATAGCAAGGTGCTGTCTAAAAAAACCGAACATGTAAAAACATTGTGCTTATAATGACTTATTCTTCCTTTCTTTAAAATGTGCACTGCACAGGAATAAGAAATTTATTTATTAAAGATTAGTTATAGGGCCAGGGATCTAGCTCAGTGGTTCTGCTGCCTGCCTTGCAAGTGCAGGGACCTGAGTTCGATCCCTGGTACCAAAAAAAGAAAGATTGGTTATACTTCACTGTTCTCAATCTAAAAAGTCAAAAGCACTGTTCCCACAAATTGTGCATTTATTCGGTGTTTTTCAAAGTGTGTTGCAAAGAAGGCCTTTACACTCCATGTGTGTGTGTGTGTCTGCATTCCTACATGCACTTGTGAGTGGTGAGAGGGTTCCTTGCTAAAATGTACATTCCTACTACATCACTGGGATTAGGATTTAGGAATCTGCATTTTATTTTATTTTTGGTTTTACTGAAGATTGAAACTTTGCTCTGAACTACATTCCCAGCCTTTTTTTATTTTGAGACAAAGTCTTGCTAAGTTGCTAAAGTTGCCCAGGCTGGGCTCAAACTTGCAATCCTTCTTTAGCCTCCCAGAGTGCTAGGGTTACGGGCACAAAGTACCATGCCCAACTCCAGAAGCTTTTTTTTTTTTTTTTGTGGTGCTGGGGATCGAACTCAGGACCTTGCACTTGCAAGGCAGGTGCTGTGCCACTGAGCTAAATCCCTGGCCCTTAAAAAAAATTTTTGAGACAGGTTTTCACTCTGTAGTCCAGGCTGCCCTTGAACTCAGTGTGTAACCCAGCAACTCTTGGTGATCCTCCTAGCTCAGCCTCCTGAGTGCTGGGATTACAGGTGAGCACCACCAGGCCCAGCATTCCAGAAGCTGCATTTTAAATTCTAAAAGCTTATATGTTAAAATTTGAAAACACCCCTCTATTTTATTGCCCATAATCCATTAAAAAGCATTAAGAGGGCCAGGGATTTAGCTCAGTGGTTCCGATGCCTGCCTTCAAAAGCATAAGGTCCCAAGTTCAATCCCTAGTACCAAAAAAAAAGCATTAAGTACTTAGCAAATTGGATAGTACTTGCTGAGTACTGACAATAAAAAATTGTATATGACATAATTCATCTACCAAGACCACAAATTAATTAACAAATAAGATATTTTGTGATAAATTGCTCAAGTAGAAGTATGAACTTAATATTTGGGAGCATTAAGAAAAGAAGTAACAAAAAAAAAAGGAAAAGAAATAATCCAAGCACTCAGGAGGCTGAGGAAGGAGGATCACTATGAGTTCAAGGCCAGCCTGGACTACATAGGCTGTCTCAAAATTATTTTAAAAAGCAATAACCAAATGTGGTGGCTCATGCTTGTAATCCTAACTACTTGGTAGGCTGAGGCAGGAGGATCCAAGTTCAAGGTCAGCCTGAAGAGGGCAACTAAGCAAAACCCTATCTCTAAAGGGGGAGGGGAGTGCTGGAAATGTAGCTCAGTGGTAGAATACCCCTGTGTTTGATGCCCAGTACCACAAAAAGAAAACAAGCAGAAACATTCTTCCTGGGACTATTAAGACTTTGGAATTATATTTCTTTTTTTTTTTTTTTTTTGGTACCAGGGATTGAACTCAGGACCTTGCGCTTTTGAGGCAGGCCTGGAATTATATTTCTTTACAGGGGCTATAATGAGCATTTTTCTTGTACTATGCCAAAAACTTTGTATCTCATTCTCATTTATTTCTCACAACACTATAAAACCATACAAGGTCTTTAAAGAAAATTCAGTAAGGTCATGAGGCTTGCTGGAAAACTCAGTGTAAGGTTTGAGTTCAAATACAGGCTTTAGGGCCAGGGATTTAGCTCAGTGGTTCTGCCGCCTGCCTCACAAGCGCAATGTCCCAAGTTCGATCCCCGGTACCAAAACAAAACAAAACAAAACAACAAATCAAATATAGGCTTTAAAAAAAAAAATATATATATATATATACACACACACATACATACATACTTTAACCACAATACTCTGCTACCTCCATCTGAACTGAGTCTTAAAGGATCTTTGCTGGCTAAAAAAAAAGCTACAGTTATATTCCAGGCAAGGAAAATAATTAGCAGTATGCTAAAATTTCACGAATATGTGTACTTTTTATGTGTATCCTGAAAGTATTTTGAGGCAATATACAAGTTGTAGCCTAAACAAAGGCTTCAGGTTAAGTTTTTGGTTTTTGTTTTGGTTTGTTTTTTTGTTCTTTGACACAAAGTCTCACTATGTAGCCCAGCCTGGCCTTGAACTCATGGCAATCCTCCTGCCTCAGCCTCCCGAGTGCTGGGATTACAAGTGTGTGCGCCCACGCCCAGCATATATGTTGTTACTGTTTGACATGGTATTGCACTGTGTTGTGCCAGCTGGCCTTCAAATTTTAACTTGAAACAATCCTTCTTAGCCTCCCAAGTAGCTAAGGCTCAGGGGCACCACTACAACAACCAAGCTAAACAGAGATTCTCAGACTAGAAAACTGCCTTTTTTGCTGTTGTTTCAAACCATTTTTTTTGTTGTTGTTTTTTTTTTTTTGCGGTAGCAGGGATCAAACTCAGGACCTTGCACTTAGGAGACATGTGCGGTGCCACTGAGCTAAATCCCCGGCCCTCAAACCTTTTTTGTTTACCTTCATTTGTTCCTTCTCTGATGCCTTTCTTCATACAGAACTGACTTTCTGACATAGGATTTCCTTCTTCCTTAGTAACTTCTGTTAACCTTTTTTTGTTGTTCTGAGTTTTACCCACTGCACCGCTCAGGCCTTGGCCGGGGACATGTGCACAGGGTACAGCCGTACTGGGTCTTCGGCTGCTGCTTCCTGGTCTTCAGCTTCTCATGCTTGTCCAGCTGATGGCACATGGTTCTCGACTTTTGAGGCCACAATTCTGCCGGCTTTTACTCCTAGTCCTTGTAGAATTCCTGAGGTTTTCTTTGAGTCTGACTAATAATGGGGTGAACAACTCGGAGAGCTTGGTCACTTTGCCGGTGTGCAGTTGGGTCTGCTTCACCTTCAGGTTGCCCAGCTAGGTTCTCCTTCCCACAAAGGTCCTGAGCCTTAATCTTGGCCACAGCCACACGAGCCACCGGCCCCTGTTCTGAGGAAAGCGCTCCTTTAACATTTCTCACAGGGCAGGTCTGCTGGACATGGATTCCCTGTTTTGTCTTGAAGGTTTTCATTTATCCTTCACTTTTGAAGGATAAATTTTTCTTTTCAGTACCAGGGATTGAACTCAGGACCTTGTGCTTGCAAGGCAGGCGCAGTGCCACTGAGCTACATGCCTGGACCTAGGATAAATCTCAGTGGTACAGAAATCTAGATCAGAGGTTATTTTTGTCTTTTGACACTATATTTCACTGTACTCTCCTATGAGTACATGTTTTTTGACACCAAATTTTAACAAAACTATAAAGAAGATTCTAAATCTCTGGTATAAAATTTGTTCTTCCCCTCTTCTACATAGCTAAATGTCCACAAGTATATTCATATGAGTTCTGGCATATGAGACACACTATGTACTAACCCCAAACTATTGGTCCTCCTGCCTTAGACTCTGGAGTACTGATATTACAGGGGTGCACCAACACACCCAGCTATTATGATTTCTAAAAATGTATTCTCTAGCCAGACATGGTAGTGCACACCTATAATCCCAGCACTCAAGAGGCTGAGGCAGGAGGATTGCCATGAGTTCAAGGCCAGCATTGGCTACATAGTGAGTTCAAGGCCAGCCTGAATTACAGAGCGAGACACTGTCTCAAAACAAAGTCTCCCCAGAGAGTAAAATCAGTTATTTTAATGCTGAAATAAATTAACAGTTTTTGATATTTTTCTCTCATCTGTCCCATGTGTACATGTATCTTTGTTTCTGTTCAGTCCAGTTCAGTTTGCCTAGTAACTTGCAAAGAAATAGACCAAACATGACTCCTATTGGATAAGGGAATTATCTCTTCCAGAAAGCAGTAAAATTACTATGAATGCAAGTCAGACAAAACAAGATTCTCTTGCTGTCAGAATCTCCGTTTTTTAATCAGCTCAGTATACTGTGTTGGTTTTCCTTTACATTTTGGATTGTAGAAGAGTAGATTCAACTGGGATGTGTTGACATAAACACACACTCTTTTGTTTTGTTTTGTTTTGTTTTCTGAGACAGGGTTTTACTTTGCAGTTTAGTCTGGCCTTGAACTTACTATGTATCCCAGGCTGGCCTCAAACTCTCAGCAATCCTCCTGCCTCAGCCTCCCCCCCAAGTGCTGAGATTACAGGTGAATATTACCATGCCTGATTTAAACATACAATATGAATAGCCAGGTTCCCTGTTGTAAACAGAGAAGTATTTCACCAGTGACTACTAGATTTTCCCTTTTATTTCTAGTAGCTTAAAATCTTATATTGAAACAGTTTCATAGTACTTTTATATTTATATATTTTTATAAATAACCATTTAATAATGGCTTTATTGAGATATAATCATAGGCCATGAAATATACCCATTTAAAGTAAATAATTCAGGGGTGGGGATTTAGCTCAGTGGTTTCACCGCCTGCTTTGCAAGCTCGAGGGCCCGAGTTCAATCCCCGGTACCAAAAATAAATAAATAAATAAAGTAAATAATTCATACCGGGTGTGGTGGCACATGCCTGTAATCCCAACACTCAAGAGGCTGAGGCAAGAGAACTGCCACCAGTTCAAGTCCAGCCTGGACTCCATAATGATTTCAAGGCCAGCCTGAACTACATAGTGAGACCCTGTCTCATAAAACCAAAATTTAATTAATTAATTAACCCAGGCATGGTGGCACCACTGAACTAAATCCCCAGCTTCTGGTTTTGGTTTTTTGAGGCAGGGTTTCCCTTTGTGGTTCAGGCTGGCCCTGAACTCACTATGTACTCCAGGCTGGCCTCAAACTCCCAGTGATCCTCCTGCCTCAGCCTCCCGAGTGCTGGGATTACAGGTGTGTGCCACCGTGCCCAGCAGTTGTGTAATCCCAGCACTGGGAAAGCTGAGGCAGCAAGACTGCCACTAGTTTGAAGCTAGACTGGACTATGTAGTTCAAGGCCAGTCTGGACTACATAGTCAGACCCTTTCTGTAAAAACAAACAAAAAATTTTAAAAAAGAACCAGCAGCCTAAAATGAAAAGCTGCCTAAAATATTAAAATTTAACATGAAGTTTGCAGTGTTATTAAATATTAGACCTTTTGTATTTTTTTAATATAAATACATGCTTTCTTTCTTTTCTTTTTCCCACACCAGGGATTGAACTCAGGACCTTGCACTTGCCAGGCAGGCGCAGTGCCACTGAACTAAAGCCCTGGCCCAAATATGTGCTTTCTTTGTTTTTGTTTTTTGAAACTAGGTCTTGCTATGTTGTTCAGGATGGCCTTGAACTCACTATGTTGTAGCCCAGGCTGGCCTGGAACTCCTGGTAATCCTACTCCCTCAGCCTCCCAAGTGCTAGGATTACAGGCATGCAGCAGCACCATACACATTTTAAGCTATGCTTTTAAACTAACATTCCAGTAAGATATGTCCATTTAATCTTGAGGATTTAGGATAACACATCTGAAAGCCCTTTCCCTTACAGTCCAGTGGGAGTGTAAGCTGCACCATTGACAGACAGATGTTCAAGAAATATTATTGAAGTCAGGTGTGATGGTGCACACCACTGAGGCCAGAGCACTGTATCCAATACCTTCAAGAAGTTAAGAGTCTGGGAGACTGAGAAAAGAGAATCCAAAACTGAAGCCCAGTGTGGGAAACTTAGCAAGACCTTGTCTCAAAATATTTCAAAAAGATTGAGGATGTAGCTCAATGCAAAGGCCCTGAGTTCAACCCCCAGTATCCAAAAAAAAAAAGAAAAGAAATATTGTTGAACTATGATTCTGGATAAGTTCGTTACTTTTAACTGTATTTGCTAAATGTTTAATGTACTTGTGCTCTCAGTTTCAAGGAGCTTGGTCCTCATGGGATGACCCTGAATAATTATAAAATCGTACAATGCATTAAATTGCGAGGTATAAGGCATAGTTTTTTTTTTTGGTTTTTTGGGTTTTGGCACCTGCGAGGCAGGCGGCAGAACCACTGAGCTAAATCCCCGGACCTAAACCATAGTTTTTTTGCAAGACGACCGAAGTTGGGACTCAGTACGTATCTCCATTCCACACACTAAATGAATGACACATCGTAAAACTGTTGAATACCACTTTAAAGTCCACTCTGGCATACAAAGTTTTATTTCTGAAGATCGATAATTTCATGTTAACACTGTACAAAGCTTAATCCTTTCCACGCAGAATAAATGCTTTGTATCCTGTGGCTCTCCACTTTGACGTTCTGTAGCTTCCTGAGAACTAGGCAATGGAGGTGAAGGAACTCTGAGCCTACCCAGAAGCAAAAATGTCAAGGCTTGCAGCCCCGCCTCCAAGATCCTCTGCGGTCTTCTAATTGGTCCTTGCAGCTCACTTTCTTTTCTGGTTGGTGTTCCTGCTTGCCCGTCGCCTCTGTACAACCCACCTTTCCCTAGTCACTATTGGTTGGTCGTTACGTCATTGCCCCATCTATCCCATTTTCATTGGCTTCCACAGAAAGGGGCGGCAGCAACGTCACGGGCAAGGGGCGCCATTTTGACTGAGCAACCATAGTGACAGGAGCCGAAGCAGCAGCTCAGGTTGTCCCCGTTCCCCCTCCCCCTTCCTGTCTCCGGTTGACTTCCCGGGCCCCCTACACTCCACAGTCCCGTTCCCACCATGTCCCAGAAGCAAGAAGACGAAAACCCTGCGGAAGAGACCGGCGAGGAGAAGCAGGTGAAATAGAGGGGGTGCGGGCGGGCGAGCCGGAGGCGACAGTGCTGAGGCGGGAGACGGTCTGTTACCAGTGCGGATTGGTCGCCATGGTCTCGGTCTCTGCAGGGGTTGGCTACTTCTTGCGTCACGCAGGATGAGCTTCAACAGGGCCTGCAGGTTTGGCGCTGGTTGGTTGGGTCGGTTGTCAGTCAGTGGTATACCCTTCCTGATTGGCCAAGATGCCTAACGCTCAAACCGAGGAAGCTATGCTATAATTGGCTGAGCTTGGGCGTGGGCGGGTGTTTGGAAAGACTAGGTGAATGAAAGGGGGCTGGTGGTCTTGGATTGTAAAGTGTTTTTCCGTTTAGCAGAGATAAGTGACCCAATAGGCAAGCTAGGGCCCGCGGACTTAAACCGCAAGAAGGTGCAGATCGAGGTAAATACGTTAAAAAAAGACCAGCATTGGGGGAGGGGAGAAGAGTAATTACCACAGCTAATTTAAGGCGGCAACTTTCTCTAGAGACTGATTTTGATAGTTGGGGGTCGTCTGTTTACCTTCAGTGAGGACCGAACAAGATTGAAGTGGACTGGAATTCCAAATATAATAATGGAGGTGAACCCTAGAAAAGACGCTGACAGAGTCGTGACGAGAAAGACACCACCCTCTTCTCTCAGATTTGGGATTTAGTCCACCCGCCGCAATTCTATGATGAAAACATTAACGCCAAATAAGCCCCTTCTTGGTTTTGTATTTGATTTGAAACATTTAGTACTGGGCTCAGAGACTGTTGAAATACACATGGTATTAAATCCGTACATAATTATCAAAGAAAAATCTGACAAGAGTCATCATTGACTTCAGGTTCTTTAATTTAAAGAAACCAAAAAACAGCAGAGTGAACAGTGAGAGCCCCTGCAGAGCATTTGAATTCTATTTCCCCAGACTTCCATCATTTGCCCCACTAGGGTAGGCATTGAGTGTGTGTGTGTGTGTGTGTGTGAAAATTAGTGGGTAAATACTAATGATCCCCATTTCTTAATTTCTCTGATGTGAAAAACAGTGCTATTTTAATCTGTTTAGCTATCACCTTCCTACCACAATATTTGTAGAAAGGTGGAAGCAGCACCATGCCATTACTCAGAGAACTTGAAGAAATTCACATGCTTGCTTCCTCCACAGAGAGAATTACCAGACAGTTTAGACTCTGAATAAGGAGGGAACATGTCAGAAGATTTATCCCCTTTCATTTTCCATTTGACTGTAAAACAGCCTCAAAAGGCCCTCCTACTCATCTTGTATCACCAGAATCCCCGGCTAGCTCCTTTTTCTCTTTCTTTCCTGTTGTCTCTGGTGAGTGAGCTATGATCCACTGTATGATTCAGGTATTCTGTTTAGGTGTTAACTTTAACCCAGTACTCATAGATCACTGGGGTGGTTTCTTGGGTGTAGTGCACAAAGCAGCTTGTCTTTTTCTTCTCACAATACAGTAGTCTTGAACTTTAGGGATTTGAAAAATAGAGATAGCATTTTTGTTTTGTTTTGGTTTTTGTTTTGGGGGGATTTTTGTTTTGTTTTGGTTTGGTTTTTTGAGGCAAGGTCTCACTGTGTAGTCCAGGCTGGCCTGGAATTCATGGGGATCCTCGTGCCTCAGCCTCCCAAGTGCTGGGATTACAGGCATGTGCCACCATGCCCAGTAGAGATAGAATGTTAACAAGTGGGTGGATCTCTGGGAAAAGTTGATAGTGTAAGGATTATCAGATATTAGAAGTGGTTTTTTCTCAGTCTTTAGTTCTATTTGGCTCCTTTGTTTCCTTCAGGACACGCAGGAGAAAGAAGGTATTCTTCCTGAGAGAGCTGAGGAGGCAAAGCTAAAGGCCAAATATCCAAGCCTAGGACAAAAGCCTGGAGGTTCTGACTTCCTCATGAAGAGACTCCAAAAAGGGGTATGAATGGAACAGTCTCTTATCCTCTTACTTTAGAAACAAGAGGGACTCTAAAGTCTGTTAAGGTTCATCTGTTTGATTTTCTGGAGGTTTTATTGTTGGGCCCTAATAAAGAAAAATTAGAAACTTGAAAAGAGAAAAATAAATCGTTATAAATCCTTGATATGGTATCAGTTTCCTTCTGATAGCCCATACAGGAAATGAAGGTATAATGTAGGGGCATTTGGGTGCATGGAAAGGGGGCAGGTATTAGAGATTGGAAATGCAGGGTGCCCCCCGGCATTTTCCTGCTTGGGTGGCAAGGTTTTAGGACTGTAATTTTTTAGGGATTAGAGATAAATTTGGGGATGTATTGTTTCAGGGAAAAAAATCAAGCCATCTGTCCTACAGAAATCCTCAACCTGAAATAAGTAGATTTCTTCAGCCCTTGAAGTCAGCATGAGCTCTGCTCCCTTAAGAGACTTACTTTTCCTGTCCAGAGTGGTCTTCCTCACCCGTGAAAATATATCTTCATATCCATCTGGCTCCTGATCAGGTTCCTCAGTCTCCAGAGGTACCTTAAACCCACTGAGGGGTTGTAAGACATTAAACTGGAGTGTGCACTTCTGTGAGGATGAAATGGAGAGTGAGACAGACTCCTGTGGAGAATCCCAGTTACTGAGTCTTAGTCACCAATGATAATGTGTTGATTTGCAGTTTACCTCGCCATAGGCAAGGCCAGCGTGGGCAGGCTGCCACAGCCATGGAACATGTGTGGGAGTGGTGGGAGTCAGGGAAAACACATTATCCTCATGAACAAGCCCAGTTTCTATTCCTGGTCTGAGAGAATAATTTTTTAATTTTGAAGTTGTTGGCTTGAGATTGCTCTCCTGCTGATTGCTGGGATAGCCCTGGATTGACCATTTTATATATCATATTGATTTCTGTTCCTCTAGCACCAAGCTATTGCTTTTGCATCTAGTAATGTCCTTGGTAAGCCTTTCAGAATGAAGTAAGGAATTATGGTTGAACTGTCCTGTAATGAGTAAGGTACAAAGGATATAGGGGCTATCCTTTGTAAAATTGTATATTCTTTCTGGAAAATTGCTTGTATACCCGAAAAAGTCAGAATGTATTGGAGAGAAGACATAAATTTGTCAAATTAATGTTAAACTACGTATGTATAAAAAAGACTTACTTGAAAGATCTGTGTGTGTTTGAGGGTTTGTAATAAATGTGAGTCTCCTTGCTTTTGAGGAATGCCAGAACCTTACTCACCTAAACTTCCCTGTTTATCTCTTAGCAAAAGTACTTTGACTCAGGAGACTACAACATGGCCAAAGCCAAGATGAAGAATAAGCAGCTGCCAAGTGCAGGACCAGACAAGAACCTGGTGACTGGTGACCACATCCCCACCCCACAGGATCTGCCCCAGAGAAAGTCCTCACTCGTCACCAGCAAGCTTGCGGGGTAACCTAGGCCCTCCTCTGCTCCCCTTCCTCACCCACTGGACTTTCCTATGTCGTAGGCAGGGATGGAATGGGCCCCTAGTCAGGTCTTCTCAGCTTGCCAGCCAGGAAATACTGATTCTGCTGGGGGCTGCTGAGAAGGTAATGTGGGTTGAAGGGGGCTCTGAATTCGTTTCTTTGGTTAAATTGAGAATTCCACACCCTCATTGTAGCCCAGGTAGGGGCCTGGAAATAGGAAAGACTAGGAATGCAAAGTGCTGCAAACTCATTTTCTTTCATGAGAAACTGGGGAGATGTGCTTTCTCCTTTGGAAGAGTGTGCCACAGAGTCGGTTAGGCCAAGGCTTGGGAATGGATGGCACTTTTAACATCCCAAGCCTGACCTGACGTAGTTGGGAAAGGCAGACTGAATGAGACATGTTTTCTGTGCTTCTAAATGTTTTGTCCCTTAGGCTTCTATTGCTTCGTGTTTCCATTATGGCAAGTTGAAAGAATCCTCAAAAAGGGAAACTGATCTGCTTACATAAAACTGTAGTGGCCACTTAACCTCCTTTATTTAGTACATCTTACCGTTTGCCCTGGCTCTCAAATGATGTAAAGATTGGTGAACATTATTCATGAAAATGGGCGCCTTCTCTCTCTCTTCCAGTATATTGCTTTGGAATGTTTTGTGGGATAGTAGAAAGGAACACTGGCTTAGGACTCAACATATTTGGTGTCTAGTTCCACTCAGTCTTGGTAGGACCAGTGAATAACCTTGGGCAAGTCATCTAGCCTCTCTATTTCTGTTTTCTCATCTTTAAAATGGAGTTAAGTATGTACAAGATTGATTCTGGCTCTAAAATCCTGTACCTGCTGGCAGAAAAACTCTGCAAAACTAAAAGTGAAGAAAGCCCATGAGTGAGCATCTGCTCTGCAATACTAGGAAGTACTCCAGAGGGAACCAACCACTTGAGGTCTACATGGCGAAGGAGGATGTTTGGGATTTGAGGGCTACAAGTTCAGGCAACAGAGCCTCATAGGTATCACAGTGCTGATTAAGAAAAAATTATTAAGCTAGCCATGGAGCCAGGTGCAGTGGCATGCACCTGTAATCCCAGCAGTGAGGTAGGCCAAGACAGGAGGATCAAGCCCCCCCCCCCCCCGGGCAACTTAGTGAGACCCTGTCCCAAAATTAAAAAAGGGATGGGGATGTAGCTTAGTGGTACAGCACCCCTGGTTTGGTCCCTAGTACCAAAAAGAAAGCCATGGAAGCTTCTTGTCTCTGACCCCACCCACTTTCCTGGCCTCCATCTGGGCCTTAGCTGCCAAAAAGCTGCTTGGAAACATGCTTGGTCATGTCCATGTGGTGACCCGTGATTCTGATGTAATCAGATGCCAGGGGTGTTGTTAGGAAGAGAGAAAGAGAAGGGATAAACTGAGCTCCCTAACTCTAGAGAGTTTAGTGCTACTGCAGAGGGGTCGCAGAACAGGTTCTTAGGAGATGATCCACCTTGGAGGAAGCAGGGAAAATGGTTGAGGCAGAAAGACAAAGAAAGCCGCCTTCCTAGAGCTCAGTAACCTCGATCTTGAGGAATAAGGTCAGGTCTCAATGCTGCTTCCCAAGCAGGTGGAAGAAAGGGGTTGTGGTGACTGGCATCTTCAATCTAGTTATTGCTAGTTTGGCCTGAATCTTACGGAATGCTTCCTGCTAGTTGTGACAAAGAGGGCCAGCGTGAGAACTAACTGTTAAAGAGAGTAAGATTCTGTAATCTTCTTGCCCCTTCACCTCAATTCTGACCACCAGCCACTCGCCCATTGAGAATGACCAGCTGATTTGTTGCTGTATTTGGGGTGATGAGGTCTGTTACATCTCCTAACTTCAGCTTTCGGGGTGTCGTTCAGATTGGATAGGAAAAGGTTGGTGAGGAAGGAATGGAGAGAGCAGGATCCCTGACCTCCCTCCCCCAAACTCCCTGACTGTCACTTGTAATTGTATATAATTTTTGTGTTTCTTGCTCCATTCCCTCATGCTGTCATCCTTTATCTAAAGTCCATGTGGGAAGGGGAGAACGCCGAACGTCACTGTATAGTTTCCTCAACTGTCCCAGCCATGTTGTACATAGATATGTCATGTTATTATATATATAAATATATATATAATTTTGTACGTTTTCTTCATCTCCGATCTGCTCGAATTCTGTACTTTTTTTCTTTTCTGTCTGAGCTGCATTCTTTTGGTCAGTTTGAGTCCTCGAGACTGGTGTTCACAGTGAGTCTGGTTTTCAGGAAGTAATAGAAGGAGTAGAGAATTGGGAGAAACTGTTAGTCTCCCTCTCTCTCTCTACCTGTCCATCTTCAAGGCTGAGCAAGCACTCAGGCTATACTCTGTATTTGCCAGCTGTTTCCAGCCTGGAGTACATGGCTTCCTTAGCAAGGAAGAGATTCGAAAGTTGCTTTGATGAGACCCAGATTATTAAACTCACTTAGCATTGTGTCTGGCCCTGGCCTCCTCACAGTCACTACCTGTCACTGAGCTGCCTCAGTGTCCCCTGCTCTGAGTGGCTTTGGCTCTGCCTTGCACACCGAGCCCGCTTTCAGCCAGGCACCTTGCTCTCCAGAAACCTCCAGTGACTTGAGCTTGTTTAAAGAATTGCTTTTCTGGGCCGGGGATTTAGCTCAATGGTTCCAGCGCCTGCCTTGCAAGCACAAGATCCCAAGTTCGATCCCTGGTACCAAAAAAAAAAAAAAAGAATTGCTTTTCTGTGTGTGTTTTCCATGAGTATCTCCAAAAATAGCCCCAAACCTCTCTCTCTTTTTTTTTTTTTTTTGGCAAATTCCTTATGGATAAGATTTTGAGGCACATGTCAAGTAGCCTGATGATAAAGTGTAGAGGAATCATGGGGCAGAGACTGGGATGGATTTCAAGGTTTTTCCCCTATTACTTGACAGTGTTTTTTGTTTTTTTGTTTTTTTGTTTTCTTCTGTGTTCGTCCACAGTGGCCAAGTTGAATGATGCTGCCTGGGGCTCTGCCAGATCCTGAGACGCTGCCCCCCTGGGTCCTGTGCTGGCTCCTGCCCCTCCCTGCTTTTGCAGCCAGGGGTCAGGAGGTGGCTTGGGTGTGGGCTGGAGAGGCAGAAGCCCCTGCCCGTTGGTGTCCCAGCGCATGGAGCCCCTTGGGCTGAGCACCAAGACCTTGAACCCTTTTTTGTTTTACCTTTTTTTCCAAATAACTGTTGGGAGAAATCTCAGTGAAATCCCAAGGGTGGGGTTGAGAGGGTGGGGTGGGAGATTTGGGTGAATGAGAATTAGGATTTAGAGATGATAAAAACATCCCTGACTATCTTCCTTCTTAACCCAGTGGTTGGTGTGGGTCGGTGGAAGAGGAGGAAGCAGAGTAGACTAGTAAGGGTTCTAATTCAGGTAAATGCCTGGTGTGGTTGTGGCTGGAGAGACCTGGTGTCAGTAAAAGCAACTGTTGATCTACATACAACAGATGCAAACAGCTCCTCTGACTGCAGAGCAAGCTGAGAACTCAATGTTAATTGTCCATAAGAAAAAAGAGTGCTGTCCTTTAAACAGATTTGTTACGTGGGAAGGAAAGGGCAGTGAGCATGGGGGAAAGGAACCATGAGCGGGGAGCCCCACAGAGCCCAGGGACTTTTTCAGTATTTGAAATAAAAAAAAAAAAAAGACCCATGAAAAAACCCAACCCAGAAATACTCTGAAGCAGTTGGTGTGTTTTATTGGGGCTTGGGAGGGGGGCTGAAATACTGAAGACACCATTTAGGGGAGAAGCTGGTTTGGGGCCCTGAGTTTCTAAGGAACACTGGGGCCTTTAGTTTGGGCTATGACTGGGCTCCCCATTTGCCCCACTTACAAGAGAGGGAGCAGGGATGGTGGCAGTCGGACCAGGCTTTTCCTTGGCCCTGTTGGTCCTGTGTTTCTGTGGCTATTGCAGAAGATGCATCGACTTCAGGTTATAGCTCACAAAATGAAAGATTAAAGGTATGTGATCTAAATGGTTTCTTGTCATCTAAAGCTTAGTCCAGACCCAGCAAAATGAAGTCCATTCTTCATTTTCCTTTCCAGTTTTCCTTTTCTCCACAAGTTCCCATGTGTGTGAAGGAGAAATGTGACCTCATAGTGGTAAGCCGAAAAGAAACATGTCTGTCTGCTTGTGGCCAGCAGGAGGCAGAGGAGCTTCTTTATTCATGATGTCCCAGCCTGCGCTCCTGGAAGCCTGGCGCCACGGAGAGGAGTTAAAAGCTGCTTGTGAGGGCTGGGGGTGCAGCTCAGAGGTAGAGGCAAGGCCCTGAGTTCATTGCCTAGAATGGGGAGGTAGGGTGCATATTAATGTAATGTACAAAAGGAAGATTACCAAAGGAAAAACAGGGCCCCTCCCTCTCCACCACCACCTGATAGTCACAAGTAATAGGTTGGAACTGCCTGCCCATTTTGCCCAGCTTTGGTTAGGAGAGTTGATCAGGTATTTCTCCACATGTGATGGGCTTCTCAAGTGATTATGCTTCAAGGAAGTTAAACAGATATTCCGGAGAAATCCCTATTGTGTTGGGGATAGGCAGTGCTTTCTAAACTGGAGAAAGAATCTTGCTCTCAGTATCTGATTCATTCTTTTTCTCCTTAATCAGAAGCTTTCCAAATAAATTTTTCAACCACTTGGGTGTTCTGACTTGCTGTCTCCTGATTTAGCCAGGGGATTATGATGCCTGACTTTCTGAGCAGCTCACTAGACACTGAGCCAGGCTGTATGAATATTTATTAAAGGCGCTCCACCTTTGAAGAGCCTGTTGTCTACCTGGAAGAAAATAATGTGGAAAAGTTCAATACTTCTACACAGATGAGCACAAATCTACAGCTGCGTATTCCGGGGACACAGTTAATGCAATGTTTATTTCATTTTAAAACAGCACCCAACTTCCTTACTTTCCAAGTAAAGATGTTGAGTTATAGAAATAAATTACTAGGGGCTGGAGATTTAGCTCAGTGGTTCTGGTGCCTGCCTCACAAGCACAAGGTCCCAAGTTCTATCCTCAATACCAAAAAAAAGAAAGAAATTACTGGACCAGGGATGTAGCTCAGCGGTACTCCACTTGCCTGGCAAGCATGAGGTCCTGAGTTCCATCCTGGGTACCAAAAAAAGAAAAGAAAAGAAAAAAATTACAGAGTGACAAAACTAGTTAGCTGAAGAGTTTCAGTATCTGTGTTTATATATTTTTTTCCCAGTATGGGTTCCATAGGTTTGATCTCCAGAACTGCAAAAATAAAGCCCATGCCAGGCAAGGTGGTACACACCTATAATCCCACCAGTCTGGAAAACTGAGGCAGGAGTTCGAGGCCTGGGCTACATAGTGACACCCTGTTTTAATAATTATAATAGTTGGGCCCAGGGATGCAGCTCAGTGGTACCATCCCTGCCTCGCAAGCACAAGTTCCTGAGTTCAATCCCCAGTACCAAAAAAATAGAAAAATGAAAGTTGTTGGGGATGTAGTTCAGTGGTAAAGCATCCCTGGTCAATCCCCAATACTACCAAAAAAAAATTCTTGATTTTTGCTGTCTTAATGATTCTGGGCAAATTTCTTAAACTCTGTCTTAATTTACTTATTTGCAAAATAGGAATGATGTGGAACATCATTGGATTGTTGTGATGAGTAAGCAAGATAAGGCCTGTAAAACTCTTACTCCAGGGACGACTGCACTGCACACAATATGGTTCCTGTCATCAAGAAGTTTCCAGTCTACAGGGAGATACAAGAAAGGCAGACAGGGCTGGGGATTTAGCTCAGTGGTTCCGCTGCCTGCCTCTCAAGTACAAGGACCCGAGTTCGATCCCCGGTACCAAAAAGAAAGAGGCAGACACAAATACAGAAATTCAGTGTCAAAGCGGGTAAACAAAATGTTCTAGAAACAGAGCAGGGCTCCCCACTCAATTTGAGATGATGGAGGATGGACAGCAAAGTTCTCCAGGTGGGGGAAAGAGTAGAATTTATTCGGGAAAAGAGGTTAAATTAGGACAGGGATCTTTCAGACATCCCCTGTTCGTGCATAGGCAGAAATAATACTGCTAAAAAAGGATACAGATACAGAAAAAAAGGATAGAGATTTAATGCAATCCCAATCAAAATAACAATAACGTTCTTCACAGAATTTTAAAAAAGAATACTATAATGTATATGGAACCAGAATATTAAGAGCAAAACGGGAGGCTTCACAATCCCGATTTCAAGTGATACTACAAAGCTATGATGAAAAACAGTATGGGGGCCGGGCATCGTGGCTCACACCTGTAATCCTCCCAGCACGAGGGAGGCTGAGGCAGGAGGATTGCCATGGATTTGAGGTCAGCCTAGCCTACATGTTGAGTTCAAGGCCAGCCTGAACTGCATAGCAAGGATGTGTTTCAAAAAAACAAACAAGGGACAGGGATTTAGCTCAGTGTTCCTGCCGCCTGCCTCGAAAGTGCAAGGTCCCGAGTGCTATCCCCGGTACAAAAAAAAAAACACAAAGCCCAGCATGGTACCAGCACAAAAATAGACATGGATCAGTGGAACAGAATAGAGGATCCATGTAGCTGGCCATGGTAGTGCACGCCTGTAATCCCAGCACTCAGGAGGCTGAGGCAGGAGGGTTGCCACATGTTTGAGGCCAGCCTGGGTTACATAGTTCAAGGCCACCCTGAACTACGTAGTGAGACCCAGTCTCAAAAAATAAAACAGAATAGAGGATGCAGAAATAACCTCAGGCACCTTCAGCCATCTAATCTTCAACAAATAGGCCAAAAACATATGGTGGACAAAATATAGTGAGCCCTTAACTTAGGAGTTCAATTTGTTCTTGAGGATTGGTTGTAACTCAAGTTGGTCAATTGAAGGCTCAAGCACCCCTACACAGCCTTCAAAGTCTCTGTCCTGTACACAGGCAGATCTTGGTGTCCTTAGACACTGGCCCAAGATTTCTGTTAGCCCCACACAGGAAGGGATGTTGTCATACTCCTTCCAGGACTCTCCCCCACCCACCCAGTACCGGGGATCGAACTCAGGACCTTGCCCTTGTGAGGCAGGTAGGGCGCCACTGAGCTAAATACCTGGCCTTTCTTCCAGGACTCTTTAAGGGTTAAATCTTGTCTGGAAGCACCTTCAGGTTGTAACTCAAGACTTTGTAAGTTAAAACTAAAATTCCAGTCATAGCCCAAGTTTTTCATATGTCTGGCCAGTCATAACTCAAGGGTCCACTGTATAGTTTAAGAAATGATGCTTGGGGCTGGGGATTTAGCTCAGTGGTGCCGCCACCTGCCTTGAAAGCGCAAGGACCTGAGTTCAATCCCTGGTACCATAAAATTAAATAAATAAACTGAGTTTCTCATATATGAGAAACAAAAAAATTAGATCCCCCAAATTAAGAGGACCCCCCCCAAAAAAAGGCAGTTGAAATGAATGGACACTAGGAGAAATACAAATGGCCAATAAATACATGAAAAAAATGTTAGTTGTCTTTGACCATTAGAAAAATGTAAATCAGGGCCAGGAATTTAGCTCAGTGGTACCATGGCTGCCTTGCAAGCAGAAGGTCCTGAGTTGGATCCCTGGTACCAAAAAAAAAGCAAATTAAAACACCACTGAGATTCCATCTTATTCCAGAAAAAAATGTCAATTATCAAGAACTCAACAACAAATACTATTGGGGGCGGGGCACTCTTCTTCATTATTGTTGGGAGTGTAAACTAGTACAACCACCATGGAAATCAGTACAGAGATTCCTCAAAAAACTAAAGTTAGAAATCCCATTTGACCCAGTTATTTCCCTTCTCGGTATCTTTCCAAAAAAGTTAAAGACATGGGCTGGTGATTTAGCTCAGTGGTTCTGCCACCTGCCTCAAAAGGGCAAGGTCCCAAGTTCGATCTCCGATTCCCCCCAAAAAATTAAAGATATCGTATTAAAGTGATACATTGGGGTCACTGTGTTCTCTCGCACGATGGCCCACCCTCATGGTGTAGGCCCAATCTTTTATTTGATCCAATCTTTTCCTACCTTTAATAAAATTTTGCTACCGTTAATAAATAAAGTGACATATTGAGCCAGGCATGGTGATGCATGCTTCTAATCACAGCACTTGGGAGGCTGAGGCAGGAGGATCACCACAAGTTCAAAACCAACGTGGGGTACATAGTTCAAAGCCATCCTGAACTAAAATAGCAAAACTCTGTCTCAAACTGCCCCCCCCAAATAAAGTGATACATGTATATCCATATTTATAGCAACACAACTCATAATAGCTAAACTTTGAAGCAACCTTTATGCCCATCAACAGATGAATGGATAAGGGAAAATATGGGATATATATACACAACAGAGTATTACTATGACATAAAGAAAAATTCAAGTCATTTCTAGGAAAATGGATGTACCTTGAGACCATAATGAAATAATCAGATAAAGAAGGTTAAATATCATAATTTATTCTATATGAGAAACTCAAAGTATAATAGAGTAAAAGCTTAAGTGAAATAAATTGCACATGTGTTTAAATACCACATTTTTTCTCTGATGTGAGAAACAAAGTGGAAATAAGGACTAAAATGTACAATAGATATTGGGAAATAGAGAATGTTCAAATTGGAAGGGAAACAAGGGAGGGGTAGGGAGAAAGAACGGAATGAAGAGACAAGAAATAGAATGAAAAATGGAAACAAAGCTTTTGCATATAGGAAGGGGAGGGGGGAAATGGGAAAAAAAGGCAGGCTATATCATGTACAGGTATAAATTCCCTATGATGAGTGTTAGCATTAGATCTTAAATGTACTAATAAATGTTTTGCTTTAAAAATTTTAAAAAGTAAAAATAGATGTAGGATACAAGGAGATAGACTTTATGGAGATGGGAAGGGAATCAGGATCGGAGGAGACGGGAGAAGGGAAGGGAAGTGAAAAGGATGAAGATGAGATCTGTATCGCTGTTCCCCCATGGTAAATGTATTCTGTGTTGTAAACATACATTGTACTAAAAGAAGGAGAAGAAAGGGGTCTTTCAAATGAAAATGCTACCTAAAAGATTCAGAAGTGTTACATTCTGGAAACTGAATCTGTAGCTGTAGCAGGCATGCAAGAGGTGAGACCAGAAATAGGTAGAAGGGAGCAAGGCTTAGATCACAGAGGGCCCTTTGGACTTTATCTTGAAGGCAGAGGTTAAAGAGTTTAAGCAAGGGAGTTTCACAGTGTAGCTCAGTGGTAAGCTATCAGCCTAGCATGTGTGAGGTTCTGGGTTTTATCCCCAGTACCAAAAAAGAAAAACCACAATTTTTTTTTAAATCAAGTGAAGGACATGATAAAATTGGCTCTTTAGAATAATCTTTTTAAGCTGAGTGTGGTGGTGCACCCCTGTGATCCCAGCACTTGAGAGGCTGAGGCAGGAGGATTGCTGGGAGTTCAAGACCAGCTTGGGCTACATAGTGAGTTCAAGGCCAGCCTAAATTATAGATCCAGACCCTGTCTCAAAAAACAAAAAACAAACAAAAAAGAATGATCTCTCTAGCCCAGTATGGTAGTTCACACCTGTAATCCCACCACTCAGGAGGCTGAGGAATATAGACCATGAGTATGAGGCCAGCTTGGGCTACATAACAAGACCCTGTCTCCAAAAAAAGAAAATAATCTTTCTGACTG